GTGTAAATGTGTGAAAACGTTAAAATGTAATATATTAGACCATAAAGTGTTAATGATAGTCACATCCACACTAATACCAGGGCCTATCAGGTTTCTCTTAATATTAATTAACACGTAGATTAAAGGATTTGTCTAACATAAACATATGATCAATGAAGATTTCTGAACCCCAAAACTGATCCTTTAACTTTAAGTGACGACAAGAGATATTTTTAAAATCTGATAGGTTGCCAGCTGTTGTAAACATCTTTGATTTAGGACAAAAACGAAAGTGGACTTGGGTAGATTCGATGTGCTGTACGATTAAATTTTGATTTCTAAATATTAAGCGGAAGTTAGTCTGTTTACTAATTTTAGTTTCGTTTTTTGCTTTTAAACTGTCGACAATAGAACACAACATCGGTTCTATCGTCACGTGGCTTCTACGTGTATTTGTAGACTAAAATTTTAAAATTTAAAGAGATACCCACTTCACAAAGCAAACCAACATATTAAATTTGTTGTTATTTTTTTAGCCAAATCAAACATGTTTAATCATTTTAATACCAATACTGAACAGTAAATACGAATGAACATGTAGAAAGTAATTCCCTAACCCTAACCCGAATGAACATGTAGAAAGTAATTCCCGGACAAATCTGACCATCTAGAGAGAGATAGGGGTCTTCAATACACATCAGATACCGATAGTTTTTTATTCTTATCTTAATGACAATATCGATAAGTACCTGGTTCACAATCGATAAATCAATACAATTCCTTTATTTTTCTCACAGTATTATTGACAACTGTAAAAATGACTTTGACTTAATTATGGTAGTAATTAGGCTTATTGTAATCCTTTCACGGTCACATGCATTACGTGCTTTCCAATACATTTACATGTAATTATAGTCTTATGAAGAAATGATTTTATATTTTGTGTATCTGAAACAGAAGTCAATCTTTAAGAAATAAATTGTATACATGTACATGTATATACTGTTCTAAGCCTATTTTCATCCCGAAGAATACTGCAATGACCAGGAAAAAATAATTCATATTGACCTAAAGATAATTGTTATTGAGCGTCAACCACTGAGCCTATTATACCGTTGCGTTCGTCATCGTTTCCCATGATGACAACAATACCTGCACATACGGTATAATTTGTAGATTTTGAAAAATCATTATCTCCAAACATATTTTGGTAACAAATATATTTTCCCTAGTAATTTGAATCATACATGTATTCAATCCATGGTTATAGGTCAATGTGTTTAGGGTTGAGGTTACATGTAACTTGAAAATATATTTTTAAACCACTACATGTAGCTACGACAAACCCCTTGTTCAAGTATACTTAGTTGTAAGGTAAGGGCTATTGGGCTATGTTTAGTATTCTTGTAAAGCCGCTGTGGAATTGTGTATATTTTGTGTGGATTATGTTTTTGTAAATATATTTATATTTTTTTAATACCTATGAAAAAAAAACCCAACCTGAACAGATGGTACATTAATATTTTTTGTATCCCTGTCAAAATGAATAAATTATATTTACCTGTTTAGGATTTCTGAAATGCCTGTCTTCTCTTATTTTTTTCTTTTTGTCTATTATTTTGCCACTTGTATTTATCCCTGGGTCCAAGTGTTGGGTGATTTGCGGTGAAGCACGGGCACTAAGATAATTATTAACGACGGTGGCGGTTGTTAAACTGGTTGATCCCTCAGGTCTTTGTATAGGTAGATCAACATCCACCAGTACCCTGGGGCAGAGGCGGGGATCACAACTAGTCTCTAATATCCCGTCTACCCCGGGGTCCAAACTCTTCACATTGTTGTTATTTAACAATAGATTATCGCCATGAATAGAAGATTGACGGCTGTAATCCGGAGAGACAGCCGAGATGTTCAACGATGTCATGGCTGGGGAATTTCCCGAAAAACTTCCAAGAGAATTGCTCGAGTTATTCGTTGATTTAGAGATATCATTTAGAGGGCTCGACAGTCTTGGAGCCTGTGGCATATTCCGATATAAATATAATTTAGGCTTTGTGGCCTGTCCTTCGCACTCCGGACGGGCTGAAATCGGTAGAGTAACATTTGGTGTGGTAGGAAAATTGAAAGAATTATCCTGTTCCATTTGAAACACTGACGTTGAATTCATCTTCTCTTCTAGGTTTTTTTTCACAAATATAAATATTTCTCAAAACACCATACCTAAATAAATTCCCAAATACATATTCACTTCAATAACAAGAACGTTCGTTAATTAAAAATAATTCCCTTTCGAAACCGAATAAAACCCCTGTTGACACTTCATTGAACTTCATCCTAATGAGTTCTCGGGAGTATTATTAGGCCTACTCTAACCCAAATCTATTCACAAAATGGGAAAGAGTATCCAGTCCAGCTTCTTATTTCATATCTGATTTAGAAACCCGAGCACATCGTCCGTAAACTGTCAAATAACATTCACATGCTTATGTTTGTAAACACCGAACAAAAATATCCAAAAGCTAACGTAAACTTACTAAATTGGGGTCACGATTATCCCCTTTCATTGGCTACCCCTCTCCACTAACACTGTCAGTCGCCGTACTGAATCACAACAAACGCACGAGGTTTACACACTGGCCCTGAATTCTGGGAAGGTGTGTAATCCATACTATCGCTGCAGAGTTGGTCAAACGGTCTAAAAAAAAGTAAATAAATGCTATAATTTGCGACTTCCAATATATCACGATTTTCAAATATGCAACCCAGTCGATGAATAAAAGTTTCCGTTTCGCCTCGGTATTTTTATCCTATTGTTTATTTATAAAACATGCAAAAAAATACAACTGACATTAAATTTGGCGGGTACTAGTGGCATACTGATTGGTTAAACGCGGGCCCTAACTATGAATAATGAGTTCATATCGTAGAAATACTCTGATTTTGAGAGCTATGTTGACTTTTTATGCGATTATTCAGCATATTTAGAGAATATGAGTTATAAATGTCCCATGGAAAGCTAGATATTCTTGCGGAACTAAGAAAATGGCATTAAATTCAATATTTCTCTAGATCGCATCACGCGCTGGCGGCCATATTGTTCTCATCGGGAACAGCAACATGGCGCGGCTTCGTTTTCCAGGCCGCCCAGGATATAGATTTGACCGTTTAGGCATCAGATATGGCTTAGATGATGCACGTAATGCGAAAGATCCCACTTTAGCAATTGTAGCTAATATACACAGAGGGTTACGATACTTTAGGGAGTTATGTGGCGAATCTGACGAGGTAATCATTCAATTCACACTTCCTCAATAAGAAAATGGCCGACATCGACGAAAAAACGATTACCATATTATGAAATATTGGAGGAATTATCGTTGATAAAACATAATTATACCAATCTATATCATCCCTGTTATGAACTGTATGTTTACAAATGATTGTCACGTTCATTGTGTCTACAAATAAATAGATTCAAACTAGATTCCCTGCGTAGGTTGCCCAACCAATATTCATGATGACACAATTTGTCATTGACAGTTTTTGCTAAAAACGTTTTATTTATGTGTTTAGTAACATGAATAGCTTATCGTGATGATTATATAGATTAACAAATACATGACTAATACGATTAACATGTTGACAACTTGTTATAACTTTTATTTATGACAGTAAGCTTGTTTTAATCACAAATGTTATGACTTTCATGTGTGTTGTAGCCTATCTAATAAGCTTATTTTATGTCTGCAAGAATAACAGAATCAGAATAGGCTTATTTTTTTACATCAACTGTAGTCTTGACTCAACCCTATTTTAACTGGATGAAAGTTATATTATGTATTTATTAAAAATTACATCCTCTATATTATGTAGGGCATATATCCCAAATAAACGAATAGCCTGTGTAATTTACAGTATTCCATAGAAATCCTAAAATGCTGAATTGAATCTTGCCCAACAATAAAAAGTAGGAAAGCAAACATCCACTCTCTTCGCGGTCATATTACAAATCAATGTCAAATGAAGAGTCCAGGTTAAGAACGGTCTAATTGACATTTTTGTCTTTTCGCATAAAAGGCAAAACAGACTTTTGGACGAGAATGCTTGACGCGAACAGAACTAGTGGGTTTAATTACAACTTCAAAATGATGTTTAATACGAATCATAATTACCAGTACAACAACTGACTCCCAATTTTCAGCCAAATTAAGGTCAAATAAATACGATGGACTTGTATTTGTCCGGGGGGCCATTTCAGAAGGGCCTTGGTTCGATGTGACTCTGATCGTTTTTACCTGAAATTGATTGTTGCACAGAAAGCTTATACAATTTGCTACCAGATGGCGCCATTAACTGTGGTTCGTTGAAAAGTGACTTAGCTCGTTCTTCCCCGGGGCTCTTCAAATATAAACTGCACATTTATTGTATATATACAGTATTTATACAGTAGATTGTTATCTAAAGTTTTCTAAATGTACAATCTGCAATAAATGTGACATATTGAATTTTATCAGCTTATAAGATAAATATGGTGTGTTTTTCTCTCTTCAGGATGAAGAATTTGAAGGGTTTACAAACCGAGATGTTGTCAAAGTTACTAAAAAGTTAGCGCAGGCCATAAAACAGCAATTACGTGATCAAGACAGTCTGGAAAAAAGTACTGTTAACAAAAAGAAACAGACTACTGATGGATTAGTAAGCACACGACTTAAGTCTACTAAAAATTCACTAGAAGAGCTACCTACATCAGAAAGAACACGCGGAAGGAAGAAAACAGTTTTAAATAATTCTTATGCAGATGTCATTAAAAAAGGTTTAGGCAAACGGTCATTGACTCCCATTATCGCTAAAGTAAAAGATGTGAAAAGACTTCAAGATGGCCCAAAAGAGAGAAAATATTCACTTAAATCTCCAGTAAGACTTAAATCTCCAACGACACCCTCCAAATTAAAATTATCCGTTTCACCTAAAAGCGAGAAAAAGCGTGGTCGTCCACCCAAAAATGCAAGTGTCTCAGAATCTCAAAAAGTTGTTTCTCCCGTGCGGAAAGTCGGGCGTCCAAAGAAGATTAATGTTGAAGTTTCTAAGGTAATCAAAACCAAAATTGTGTCGGCTAAAATTGCTAAATTTAAAAACTCAGAAAATGACCGAGCCAAGAAACTTTTGGCGAAGGCCAAGAAAGGTCTTATTCCACAGTCGAAACTTTGTTTATTGTCCGTGGATACTGAAAATACACCAAAGCAACAACGTAAATTTGTGCTGCCCTCCAGAAGTTCGCGATCATCAAGGGTGATTATTCCTACAAAGCGTTTCCTGGAAGATGATAGCTACGATGTATCTATAAAAAGGAGAAGTTTGACTTCTATAAACACCTCTGAAGCTGTTCCACTAGCCTCTTCTCCTTTTATTGAGCCATTAACTGCTGTGTCCACCTTCAGCCCACCGTCAAATCAATTATTTGTGGAAAGCAATTTAGCTTCATTAGAACGGCGATATTCTTTACCACACAAAGCTTTGTTAGACATGCCTTTAGTCGTCGAAGGCAAACGTCATCGGAAACCTAGTATTAAAATGAGGTTGAAAGTAAAACAGTTTGGTCGATCACTAAAGTCTGGAATGTTAACACCCGATGATGATGGAACAGATAGCTCTTCTACCACATCATCTTCAAATGGAAATTCCTCACAGTCATTGTTCTCTTCAAAAAAGAGTCCTCTGGCTCCAGCGAAACTTGGTGTTTTCAACCGAGCAGGCCCAATGAATTTAACTCGCAGAACAGACGGTAAGGGTCAAGATTTTTCAGCATCCAAGACCAGCAGCATCATTCTACAGAAAGCTAAACTTCAACTCAATAGACCTGCGTTAAACAGATCTAAGGCAGCTTTAGCGCGATCTCTCAAAGCCAAAATGAAAAAGGAAGCTAAATTAATCAAACACGAAGATTCAATGGAGATGACTCAACTTTCGCCACTTCCTCATCTTCAACTCTCTCCTCTCTCAGGTTTACGACAACCATTTGATTCTCCTATCAGTCCACAGAGGGGAACTTTATCTCCAGGTGGATCAGGCTTTGGTAAGAACAAATTATGATGTAAACGTCTTCTTTTTCAATTCTTCAATCATCTTTTATATGAAATGTAAACTCAAGGTTCGATGTCATATAATAAATGTTTAACAAACAGTTTGACAATCAATCAGTTACAGAGAAACAAATCAGAAGATTATTACACAAATGGTAACCAAATCCATAATTCATTTAAATAAAATAAAACTGCAACTAAATACTTTGTCACATTTGATAAGCAGAAATTAGGAAGAACCCACAAGAAGGGTGCTGTAGTTCTCAACAGCAAATACTGCAGGTGCTAGTTAGACTCAAAATCTATTTCTTTATATACATTAAGTTATGGTTGGGTATAAAAGTTTTCAGTATAGTTTATATATGATGAAATTATTGAACTGAACATCGTAAAAAAATTGCATAAGTGCCATAGGTAGCTACTTTACAATGTACATGTATAATTGTTTCATATTTGTTAATGTAATTATTTATTTTAAAGGTATGGGAAAAGTTGATAAGGTTGTTAAGAAAAGAAAGTTCCGTAAAAGTCAGTGTGCCGTTTGTAGAAATAAATCTGTTGTAGCCAATGATATGAAGGGTGTTCCCTTCTGCCAAGCCTGTGATAAGTTTTTACGTATACATACCAAACGTAAATTTGTCAAGCCAGATGATTACGTTTGTAAATTAAAAGGTAAGTGTGGTTAAAACATGAAACTGATTTTCAGGATGAAGTGTTGCTTTGATAATGAAATTATTACTCACTGAAGTCAAAGAGTTAAAAAAAAAAAATAAACACAGAAAAAGATTGTATTATAACTGTTGAGATAGACAGAAAAAACTTTTATATTTTCTACACTACATGAAGATCTGACCAGTTGTACTCAAAGATCGTGTCAGGGGTCGTACGAGCGGCTTTTGACCCTATGACATCAGATATTGATTAATCAATCAGCGTTGACGTTTCTTGTGGCTTACCCACAGTTCCGTGCATCGCTCGCCATGTTCTCGTCGTGACATACCATTTCATTGGCTAATCCCTCGCTTCAACCAGAACGCCTGTTATATAACAACTCTTCTAGATCCTAGTGTAGTAAAGACAAGTAAAAGGGAATTTTGAACTATAAAAAATGAAACGAAATAGGATCTGTGTTTTAATCAGATTGCAAAGGGGAGGAAGCTAAGCGTATGGGTTTTGTGATAAACTGACAATTTATTTTGTAATTAAATGTGAATATTATTTCAGGAAAGTGTAAAATAGATTATGAAAGAAAGAGATTTTGTAAAGCGTGTAGATTATGGAAGTGTCTTGATATCCAAGATTTAAACGAGAAATTAAAATCTTCACCTAAATCTCCAGCGTTTACCATCAGTACACCGTCACCAGTCAATATACTCAGCCCTGTATCTAGAACCGAGGGGACAAGTCCAGAAAAAACAGTCAAAAGTAAAATAGAAACACCTAATAAAGAACCAGGAGCTAAAGAGAATCTTCCAGGTAATATTTAGATCTGGCTGTTCTTGCTAAAAATAGATAATGAGATATGGCTGTCTAAGTTTATATTATCTATTTTTAAATTGAATTATTAAGTGGCAATCATTTGTCATTCCATTTAAATGTTACTATCCGCTGGTTGTTTATAGGCTGGTCATGTGAATTAATGTCTAAATATTAATTTACATGACATTTGATGCTAACTTATTAAGACTATCTTATATATCTGAAACTTATAGACAGTGATGAAAATATAATTCAGTACCGGTATGAGCACGGCAGTCGACAATTCAACAAAAGTTTTTAAGAATCTTGTAAAAGCAAACGAAAATAGGACTAGTATTGTATTGTTGCCAATAGAGATATATTCTACTAAATTAAATCATAATAGCATAGTTCATAAAATAGCAAATAAGAAAAATTATTATCCCAACATATTTTTCCTAAAGAATTTACCGTCATCTTTTCTCAGACAATGAATTAAGACACTTTTCATCAAACGATTTTAGGGTGGCTAAGTGGGTAAGACGCTAGCCTGGAGGTCGGGTGTTCGATCCCTGCATTGGCCGAGAAAGTTCATGCAGATTTTCCGGCGTGGTTTTCCCTTGTCAGTGATGCAGGATGGAGGGCCTGACAAGGACAGCTGTCTAGTTGTTCGCATGGGATGAAAAACCGAGGCCCTGTGTACACATTGGCATGCACTTAAAGATCCCTTGACAGTTGGAATTCGATATAAGAGTAGGCCGTAGTGCCGCTGTCGGGCAAAATTTTCCTCATAGCACACTGCATGGCGTATGCCCGTCTTCATTAGCCCAGTTCAGAGCAAAACAGTAGGACGTTAAACCCCATTTTATTTCATTTCATTTCCATAAATATTTAGTTGTTTTATTTCTGTTACAGATGAACATACAATGCCAACAATAGATAGTCCCGAAAAAATATCAGCCAATGAGGAATCACCAGTCACTGATCGTCATGGTGATCATGGACCTAGAATAAAACATGTCTGTCGTAGAGCTGCGATGGTTGTACGTAAACCTGTGGCTCGTTTCCCTGGTCAAACAGATGAACCAAGTTTAAGTGCTCTTCCAAATAAAGAAAAACAACAAATTTTAAAAGAAGAGGAAGAAAAGGCAAAAAGTAAGTTTCTTATCTGACTAATTTTTTTATAATAGTAGATTTGTGAAATGAAATTGGGTTTAACGACCTACTGTTCTGCTAATGAAGATGAGCATATGCCATACAGTGTGCTATGAGGGCAATTTTGCCCGGACAGCGACACTATGGCCTACTCATATATCAAATTTCAACTGCCAACTGATCTTTTACGTGCAAGCCAATGTATACATGGGACCTCGGTTTTTCATCCCATCCAAATGACTAGACAGCTGTCCTTGTCAGGCCCTCCGTCCTACACCACTGACAAGGGGAAACCACGTCTGAAAATCCCTATGAATTTTCTTGGCCAAAGCAATGATCGAACACGTGATCTCCAGGATAGCGAGCCAGCATCTTACCCACTTACCCACCGTGGTTCCATAATAGATTTGTTGAAGTGATTTTAGAGTATTCTAGTACAGAATGACTCAACATTTGAATCTTACGAATGAAATATGGAATGTGTAGAATTTTGAATATTGTAGTGTAAATACAAGATTGTCGTGAAAAAACATGTTATGAATACCCAAGACTAAATATAAAACATTTACAGACAGATCTTTCAGCATGTTAGGACCAAGACTCTGGAATACCCTTCCAGAAAGTGTAAAACAATGTCAGACTATAACAGATATTAGCAATACAATACAAGGACATCCAATACATGTATGTTGACAACATTATTACCACAAACATTATAAGGGAAACAACTCTTGTTAATATTTTTCGGGAAATATTTTTGCAGGGTTGTCTGAAGAAGAAATGACACCAGAAGCAGCAGATCATATTCCTGGACGAAAGAAGCCTATGGACAAGTAAGTTTTTAGGCTATAATGATCATCACAAATAATAAAAACACTAGGGTACGAAGAACATTGATATAACTAAAAGTTAACTTGTATACCTGTTTATACCACAATATTTTACAGAATAATAGCTAGTCGTGTAGAAAGTGCTAAATTAGTTCGTGATTCTGGTCAGGTTGGTAAGAGAAGAAAGATAAGGTGTAAAGAATGTGCTGGATGTTTAGCTGAAGATTGTGGTAAATGTAAACAATGTTTGTAAGTAATGCTTCTTTATATTTATTATATTGTGTAATATCATGAAATCTTCCTGATTTCCAGATCAGATTTAAAGGAATGAGGAGCTAGATTGTAAAATAAGGCCCATGGAAATGTGATGAAGGTGTTCTATTTCAATGTAAATTAAAGGGCAACTACCTGAATCAATGAAATTGTAGTTATTTCATGTCAGTTGCCAATTGGCGTTAATAATAATATAATTACCAGTTGTTGGCCTTTACGGACTAGTTGAACCATGTATTAGTTACAGGCATAACTCCTTGGAATTTGAAATTGTTTTCACTTGTGGGGTTCACATGAAATATGAATACTTGGCCACTAATCTGTTTAGAACAGAATACAATATCTTGTTTTTGTTTTATTATCCAGAGATAAACCAAAGTTTGGTGGAAGTTGTAAAATGAAGCAGGCTTGTATGTAAGTAGATTTTCTCTTTATTTGATTATATTTGATTGCTGTTCTCCTATTGATCAACATGAGTTGATGATTGATTTTATTTTTCAGCCATCGTCGTTGTTTGAATCCACGATATGGTAAAGTAGCCACAGCAGCTTTTATAACACTGAAAGAACAACATCCTAAAAGTCGCGAAGATGATAAAGATAGAGATGGAGGGAATAATTCACCACATAGTACGAGTACTACAACTAGTAGTGTATCAACTACCGATACTAACACATCAACATCAACTAATAAACAACCTCCATCTGGTGGCAATAATAAAGTAACCAATAATCAAGCTGTACTTCATTCGTCTGCTTTCTTACCGCATAATATGGCTAGTGAAGCACATAGATTACCACCCACTAAAAGGCTGCTAAAAACAAAGGTGAAGTATATATTAATTCTGTTTTTGCATTTCCTCATATTCATGACGGGGGGTTGGATGGCCGAAAGGTTAGCACATGCGCGTTGTATCATAAGGCCTGTCATTGAGTCAACTGGCATGGTTTCGAATCCCCGGTTGTACGTGACAAGGAGTAGGGTCGCCTGTCCAACCTCGTGGGTTTTCTCCGGGTCCTCCGGTTTTTTGAAATAAAAAAAATTAAACCATATGTTAGTCCCAAAATGACCCAGTTTGTGTTGAGTGGATGTTAAACCCCATTTCTCTCTCTCTCTCATATTCATGACAGCATCATTTCTAGAGTTACTGCCCCTGGTTTAATTTTGTAATTTTGTAATCATAGTCCATAGATTGAATAAATTCTCAATAACATTAAATTTATTTTTCCAACCAGATTTTATCCAAAAATAAAGTTTTACCCACTGTTCAACAAATCTCCACCAATCGTCAGTGGTCTTCAATACCTGTTGGTCCACATTATATTAAAGCTGAATTTAAGGTAAGCTAATCTGTTTTATATATCCTGAATACGTTGAGGTAACTTTATAAAACAACTTGTGTAGGGTTAGTGGTGTGCCCTAATTTAAGGTAAGCTAATCTGTTTTATATATCCTGAATATATTGACGTAACTTTAAATAACTTGTGTAGGGTTAGTGGTGCTCATTGACAGTGTGTTCTTAAATTATGTTACAATTTTAAAAAACAGGTTTGTTTGTAACATGCAGGGATGATTTCTTTTGAAAATAGTCCCTATTTGGGTATGACGAAGCTCTAAGCTATTGGAAATTGTCTCTACTTGGGTATGATGAGACTCTAAGCTATTGGAAATAGTCCCTATTTGGGTATGACGAAGCTCTAAGCTATTGGAAATTGTCTTTATTTGGGTATGATGAGACTCTAAGCTATTTGAAATTGTCTTTATTTGGGTTGGAAATTGTCCCTATTTGGGTATGAGGAAGCCCTAAGCTATTGGAAATAGTCCCTATTTGGGTATGACGAGGCTCTAAGCTATTGGAAATAGTCCCTATTTGGGTATGATGAGGCTCTAAGCTATTGGAAATTGTCCCTATTTGGGTATGAGGAAGCCCTAAGCTATTGGAAATAGTCCCTATTTGGGTATGATAAGGTTCTAAGCTATTGGAAATAGTCCCTATTTGGGTATGATAAGGTTCTAAGCTATTGGAAATAGTCCCTATTTGGGTATGACAAGGCTCTAAGCTATTGGAAATTGTCTCTATTTAGTATGTGTTAACAACAAATAAATCAACTGAACGATTTGTTTAGAAATATGGTTTTAGAAAAAGTTTACCCAGTTTTTTTAAATTAATATTGTACTTATGTTCCCAGATGATTATATTTTACAGGATAAATATGATGTGGATACAGCGTGGGCAGGAGGAATGGCTTTAGTTGTATCTAGTCAATCATGTGTTCGTAATTCTTGTTATTTATGTGGAAGTCTAGGACAGCAAGAGGTAAATATTCACATAGATATTTGTTTGTTTGGGGGCAGTCTGTATCCCTGTATTTGGAAAAAATATGGTGAAAAAAATATAGTATTATTGATCCTAAAGGTTAATTTACTGTCTTGGTTTCAAACATGACTTGGGAGCCATAGTAGCTAAGAGAGCAGTGCGATGGCTCGCTAGCCTCGAGGTTTCGAGATTTTCTGGTGTGGCTTCCTCTTAACAGTGGTGCAGGACAGAGGGCCTAGCAAGGACAGCTGTCTAGTCCTTAGGATGAGACGAAAAACCAAGTTCCTGTATCTGTATAAGAGTAGGCTATAGTGCCACTGTACTGGCAAAATTTCCCTCATAGCACACTGTATGGCGTAAGCCCGACTTCATTTTCCCAGTTGGAGCAGAACAGTTGGACGTTAAATTTCATTTCATTTCAACCCCCTTTCTCTTTACCTCTCTTTTCAGTAACATTGCCAAATCGAAACTCCACAGAGAAATTTCTAACCTTGATATTTATTTACAGATGGTGTATTGTTCTATCTGTTGTGAACCGTTTCACATGTTTTGTTTAGAGGAAGATGAGAAACCTCGAGACGATGATCGGGATAGTTGGTGTTGCCAGAATTGTCAGTTCTGTAATGTTTGTGGATATCAGTTCAATCTCTTATCTTGTGATAGGTAAGATCTTGGCCGGCTCTGAGTTCACTAAGCATTCTCAGACTTAAGTTAAGAATTTACTCAATTTTCAATCCAAAACTCAAAACTTTGCATATAGTTTCCTATTAATGTATTTGATACATTAAAACAAAAAACAAAAAAGTATAAGGGGCTATATTTTAGGCGAACAATTTTGAGTAAATTGTTAACTTAAGTCTGAGAATGCTTCGTGAATTCGGGCTCTGAGTTATTTATTTTAACCATTTTCACCCAGCTGTGAAATATACCTGTCCATCAATTTGTTTGCCAGGTAGTTCAAATATAGCACTTGATAGTGATATATACAATTCACTTCATAGACGTGTTTGGATCAGGAACTGGTCGCTAACTGCTACCCCATCTTGTTCTTGAGGTGACGCTCTTTGAAAACGCCTAAGGCTCCGTCAATTCAAGTCCGATCAAGTCCGATCGACATGAAAATTGGTATGCATTGATGTGGTTAATTAGATTTTTGAATTTCATCCAACAACACGGTCAGTTCCTGGTCCATAGTATGATCTCACTTAAACTCTAGAAATACAAGAGAGATTGGATTTTTAGATTTCAATGTAGTAATTGCAACATTCATAAAATGTTTGACTGGCGAAATCTTAAAGTGAGACTCTGGATTAGACGCGACATGGAACATAACTAAGGCAGAAAATTACAGGAAAATGACATATAACTACGAAGATTTCAATATTATTAAAGTTTCAGCAAGGTTTTTAATATTAATTCCTTTTAAATAGATGTCATTCAACAATGTTTAGGACCTAACTATCCTAATATAGTTTCAGCAATTGTTTTAATATTAATTCGTTTTAAACAGATGTCATTCAACGTACCATCCTGAATGTTTAGGACCTAACTATCCTAATAAACCAAGTAAGAAGAAGAATATATGGGTGTGTAGTAAATGTGTTAAATGTAAAAGTTGTGGTGTAACGACACCAGGAACAGGAAATGCTACATGGATGTACGATTTCTCTCTATGTTTTGATTGTGGTAAACTCATGGATAAAGGTGAGGTTCTTGATTCATTCATTCATTCAAACAGTGTATGTGACACCATCTATATTTACATGTTGAATTAAAGGCATATTGTTCCAGACTACAAGACACATAGACTTTGACACCATAGTCTTATCTCCAACCTCGTGTTTTTACTTGGGTCCTCCGGTTTCCTCACACTGCTAAAGACCCCTACGCGCAGGCAAATTATTGAAATAAAATTGACCATATGTTAGTCCCAAAATGACCTAGTTTGTGTCGAGTGGACATTAAACCCCATTTCTCTCTCTCTCTCCATAGTCTTATCAAAAACTACTCAAATAGATCGATATCAATCCTAACAGAAGTTATGACCATTTAAGGTTCCTCTAACTTTCTGTTGATGTCATGTCAACATCTTCTTTTTCTCAGAGACTATTTGTTGATATTTGAATGATATTCTATTTCTATTAATGACATAAATCTCATCAAAGCATTAAGCCTACAGTTTTTTGTTTTAATTGTTGAGATTACTATGTACAGAACTCTTGTTACGTTTAAATACAGAGAAATGATTAATGTCTGTCTCTCACATTAATGTGTTAACTGCAATCATCTCTATTTTCATACTCATTTAGGTTTGGATTTTAATCTGTAGAAATAAAATCAAAGATGTCTGTTCGTCCATCACGCTTCCACCACATATAGGTGTGTGTGTGTGCATGTGTTTACCCGTCACGCTTCCACCCCACATAGGTGTGGATGTGCATGTGTTCGCCCCTCACGCTTCTACCCCACATGTGTGGTATCAAATTAACCAGCATGACCCTGTGAATGTTTTAGGGGCCATCCAATTTGATCCCCCAGGCTAATTTGGCCCCTGGGGTGAATTTGAAGCCGGGTGAAGCCGGATATCCTTCTAGTATTCAAATATTGAGAGGAGATCATTTTTTTGGAGAAAAAATAGTGAGTTTTATTAAACAGGTTATGATGACTAATATTGGTAGATATAATTAGATATTTATTTTCAGGTAATTTCTGTCCAATATGTCATAAATGTTATTCTGATGATGATTGGGAATCTAAGATGGTACATTGTGCCATATGTAATAGTTGGGTTCATGCTAAATGTGAAGAACTTTCTGGTGAGTTATTACAAACATGAATTACTACACAAAATATGGTGATCAGCTATTAAATATAATAAATTTCCTTGTGTCAGATAAAAGTATTTATCAGGGGATTTTCTTTGCTAATAATATTTGTGATATTTTTAGAATAAAATTAACTGAAAACAAAACAAGTAAAAAGTTTTGAAACAGGATCTTGGCCTTTAATATTTAATTTTTCAAATGTCACTTGATAGACATGACGTCCACATGGTTGACAAGGAAAATCAATTGTATTTGTATAGCACAAATAAACATGTAATCATTAATCAATGAACCCTTGACAGTTTAAATTCGTAAAGATGATGGACAGGAACATTGCAACATGGGAAAAACTCTTCCTGCATCACACACGTATCATAGTACATCAATCTGATTCAAACACAGATCCTATTTCATTTTGTTTTTATAGTTCATAATTTTGTTTTACTTGTCTTCACAGCACTAGGTTGTTACATAACCGGTGTTCTGGTTGATGTGAGGATTAGCCAATGAAACGGTCTGTTACGATAAGTTCTTGGCATGTGATACACAGAACTGTGGGTAAACCACAAGAAAGGTCAACTCTGGTTGATTGATCAATATCCGACGTCATAGGGTCAAAATCCGCTCGTACAACCTCTGACACAATCTTTCACTACAACTTGTCAGATGTTGATATAGATGTGTATTTTAATCCGATTTATTTATTGTGTTATATTTGTATAGATGAGATGTATCAACTAGTGTCATATTTACCAGATAATATAAATTATACCTGTAGAATCTGTTCTACACACAAACCAGCACAATGGGAACTAGCTATGAAACAGTTATTTTTAGATGGATTAATGTCAGTATTAAGAACTCTGATCAGTTGTAAGAGTGCACATCATTTAGTTAAAATAGATAGAGAGGTGAGTATTATTACATTTAGTTAAAATAGACAGAGAGGTAAATATTATTACATTTACTAATATTTGGATATTGATTAATGCTAGGTTCCCACTGTTGTCTGATGCATTATGGTAGGATTGTCCCTATTGAGTCCATGATCTGCTTACGTGTATATATGTTTGGATACGTTTCGATACGATCAACACGATTGCTACGACTGACCTCAATATATGATAAGACCTAATAGGATCACCACGATTACTCCATGATTAAAACCACGATTTCAATCGTAGCACGAGTGGTGACAGTGGGAACCTAGCTTAAACAGGGTGTTATTTCTTTCACCATGAAACTAAATGTTAATGATTTTAAATAATACGCTAAAAGATTTGTTGAACTTTCAAATTCAAAGTTAAAACAAGTATGTTGCCGTGATAGATTTGTACTGATTTGTTTCTGATTGGGCAGACGGTATGCAGAGAAATGTTTAATCAGGAGTTCTGGAGTTCTCCCTGGTGTTGGGTGAGAAAGTTCTGCTAGAATCTAACAGTCTTCTGTTGGGATTACCTTAGAATATATTTACTGATCACTTCTGCTAATATTTACTTTGAATAAAACAAATTTGTGTTTTTTTTCAGAAGAGATTAAAACTAATCAAGGATAAAGAAATGAAACAGGAGAAAAAGAATTCGGGAGAGAAAGATAAAATCTCTCCTAATAGAAATGTTAATAGTGCTAAGAAAAATCTCTTTGAGACATTTTCAAAAGAAATGAATTCCATACAAATACCTGAGAAAAATGATTGGTTAGAATCAATGGATGTTGATGAACCAGATTCGTGCAATTTAACATCAAAACCATCAGAATCACAAACAACACCAGATAAATTGACATCAAAACCATCAGAATCACAAAGAACACCAGATAATTTGACATCAAAACCATCAGAATCACAAACAACACCAGATAATTTGACATCAAAACCATCAGAATCACAAACAACACCAGATAATTTGACATCAAAACCGTCAGAATCACAAACAACACCAGATAATCTGACATCAAAACCGTCAGCTGAATGTAAAACCACCGAATCTGTGGAACAAATCGTAGAGGAAACCCCCATTGACTTAGATATATTTTACGATTTAGTTGACAATGAAGTTGTGAATAAAATATATGGAATATTGGCTGAAATAGACAGTCCTGTTAAATCTAAATCACCACAAGTTACACAATATCATCCCAAATTGTGTAACGGACCTAGCAATATTAGTAAATATTCAAATAATTGTTCAGATAGTGCTCAAGAAACTGTTTCGAAAGATAGTCCCTTAAATTGTGCTTTATCCGATGACGCAGAATTTACAGATAAAAATACATCATCACAAACTAGTGTGCATAATAGTGTAACATCCGAACATTCTCATTTAATAAACGGTGACATTGCTACAGGAAGTGATCAACAATGGACAAAAATTATAGACAAATCTAATGATTATAGAAATATCTATAATTCTGTATTAAATAAAGATCAGTGTGAGGCTTGGAATGATAAAGACATTCAGAATAATGAAATAGTTGATAAAATTGAAAGTAATAGGATAACTATTGTAGCACAAAATTTTGAAATAGAAGAAACAGAAGAACATCATGAAACAGATTCTAAAGATGGTGGAACTGATGATAGTTTTAATAAAGAATTTCAAAATAATCCATTAGATTTACAAGCTGTAGCAGAAAATGTTAGAGAACAGAAATATGATAGTATTGTAAGTACATACCGGTATAAGCTTGTCTGTGTATAATAGTTGGGATACGTGATGGAATGTTCAGGAATAAAATTCTCTCAATCCTGCAGGGTGTCAATCTAGAGTTTTGGTTGACAAGGTGCCAACTGTATATAAGATTATCTCGACTATACCCCATGCCTGAAGTAAATTCACAATGTTTGATTATTACATCCCACTTCTAGTATCAGGACGGACAGAAATCTGACAGGCTTTAATTTCTAGTCACTTGATTACAATGCTGTTAATCTTCTCGGTCCCCCCCATTTTGTTCAATTTGAATTCAATCTGATAAAAATACACATCTATATTTCATTTTGTTTTTTTTTATACTTTCGATGGCCTCCACTATATGAAGATCTGACAGTTGTAGTGAGGGTCGCATCATGGGTCATACAAGCGGCTTTTGACCCTATGACGTCAGACATTGATTAACCAATCAGCTTTGATGTTTCTACTGGATTACTCATAGTTCCCTGCACCTCATGCCAAAAACTCGCCATAACAGGCCGTTTCATCATCCAGAACGCGAGTTATATAACAACTCTTCCCGATCCTAGTTTAGTAAAGACAAGTAAAACGAAATTTTGAACTATAAAAAATGAAACGAAATAGGATCTGTGTTGTAATCAGATTGATTTGAACTAGTTATTACCATAGAGAAGCCTCACTGCTTGGTGGTAAAATGGCCATTTTATCCTATATGAAATGCAAGAATGGAGAATATTTTATTTTTACAGGAAGAATTTAGTGAAGATATTGTACGTATAATACAGTTTGCTGTAAACCACACTTACTCTAGTTCGAGACGTAAAATGAACCAGTCAACAAAATCAATATTTATTAAGGTACGATACAAATATTTATGTAATGAAAAATTTTTCAGCTCTTTGTATCATATATTTGTTCAATTAGAAACAGATTCACTTTAGTACTCTTTTGATCTGCTCATTGAATGGTTAGAGGAGATATATAGTTTTAGACATGTTTGATATATTTCTGTGTTTATTTTAGCAAATGGAGAGATGTTTTCCATGGTATAACGTCAAGTTATGTAAATTATGGGATCATAATAAAGCTTTACCAATGTAAGACATTTTTTATTTTATCTTTATTAAGAATGTATGATTAATATAACTGTTGTGGTTGGGAGGATCACGTAGCTAACTGTTGTGCAGGGCTGCCGACAACCAGTATCGCAGCGCAATTTGCGATACATATTTTGTCTGTTGCTAATCAAAAATTAAAATCAAAAGTTTTTGATTCGCAGTAACTGCGAATCATTAATATGCCTGTCATTTTGGATATTGACACAAGGATAATCCACATTCGAAGACTAAAAGGCTTTCTGAACACTTTCAACGTGTATAAAATGTTGAATAAAATTTTATAAACAAAACTGAATTCTCCGTGTGACATTTTTTCTCGAACTACCCAGACACAATTCATTATACGGTACTATATAAAACAGGGACATAACTCTATGAATAGGGACTATTAAACCGGAAATAGGGAATCAAGTAGTACCACTCACGTTGCGAGACATCAAGTAATTATATTATATTCATTTTGAAAGAAATAAATCCAGTGTATCCCCCACGTATTGTAAATAAAATATAAAAAAATAAATATAAGTTAACGTATTGTAAAATGATAAATCAAAGTAAAAATTCCCGTAAATATCGCGATTGTCTAATTAATCGAGGTGTGCCCGATTGAACAAAAATAGCAATACACGATAAAAAGCAGACGAAATTGTTTTCTAACGAAGATTTCTAACGTAACAAAAAATAACAATTAAAATGATTGGGGCCTTGGAAGTCACTGTTAAGAATTGGCTTCAGACATAAGACCTAACTAAATGTCTACATCACATTCACAAACTGTAACAAGTATTTGTGGCAGTGCTAAAAAAATCTAAGAATAGTAAGAATGGAATTTAATCATATTTGTTATGAAGTAAAGTAATATCTTGTTATTTAGGTTTTTATGTTGAAACTGAAAAACTGCTAATCAGTTTTTAAATTTGCTAATCAAATTTGGCAAAATTGGACTTTTTGATTAACAGTGCTGCTAATCAACTGTGAAAAATTACCGACAGCCCTGCTGTTGTGTTTAGGAAGATCACGTAGCCAACTGTTGTGGTTGGGAGGATCACATAGCTAACTGTTGTGGTTGGGAGGATCACGTAGCTAACTGTTGTGGTTGGGAGAATCACATAGCTAACTGTTGTGGTTGGGAGAATCACATAGCTAACTGTTGTGGTATTTTTGAACATAAAACAAACAGTACATCATTAAAACACAGTCAATACAAATTAAAACAGAAGAGTAATAATATTTGTATGTTTTTTTATATTTTTATTAGAGGAATGTTACCTGAAGCTGTGTTACCACCAAGTGATGATCATACGTACGCTCAATGGTTACATCAACCTCCATTACTTACTTCACCACAACCATCACCATTTAAACATATAACTAGCAGTCCTATAAAATCATTATTTACTACAGGTAATCATATAACTACCTGTCCTATAAAATCACTATTTACTACAGGTAATCACTCCTATAAAATCATTATTTACTACAGGTAATCATATAACTACCTGCCCTATAAAATCACTATTTACTACAGGTAAACATATAGTTCACAGTCCTATAAAATGATTGCTATATTAATTTATAAAATGTTTATATTTTAGCTACAAGAAATACGATAAGTGTATCATTACAGAGTACAATAGAACATGATAATAGACAATGTTCTTTTTGTTTACATTATGGTGATGATAAACCAGATGTAAGTATATATTACTGTATTTTTACTCCTGTCTGACATTAGGGCACTAGATTTCTCACTAATTTGTCCTTCTTATTTTCCCAGCCCTATTATGGGTATTGCCAACCACAGAGACAGATAATTGTTCCTCTATGACTGGGGTCCATTGGTGTGCTAACAAATTGACATGGAATTAAAAATAAAAGTAGGCACAAATACTTTTGTCCAGTTATGTCTAGGCAAACTTTACCTTAATATAGTTAATAATGTGCCAAGATCAGAATAAATTATAGTGTCAGAGTATATATCAGTCAGAATGTATTATTGTGTCAGAGTATTTGTAGATCAGTGAGAATGTATTATATAAGTATTTTTATGATTTGTTACAGGATTGTGGTAGATTATTATATTTAAGTCAAGATGATTGGGTTCATGTTAATTGTGCATTATGGTCAGCAGAAGTATATGAAGATGGTGATGGTTCATTACAGAATGTTCATACAGCTGTTGCTAGAGGGAGACAACTGGTGAGTATTATTATGATTGTACTATTCAAGTATTCTAAGACAATATTGAAATGTTATTTCTATATTTGATTTATTTTAAATAATACATTTCCTTTATTTGAATGTTTATTTCTGACTATAAATTGATTTCACTGAAATAATAGGAGACAAACAGACTGATCAAATTCCACATGGTTTATTTATTTTGAGTGACAAATACCAGAAATCTGTTTGAACAGCTTTGAAACACTGTTTAAATGTAAATATTGTAATTTATGTGTGAGCACTAGAGCATTTCCCTCAGTGACATAGATTATAGCGCGATATATTATTTTGATTATAATTTGTCTGATCAGTGACGTAGATTATAGTACAATATATTATTATTATCATAATTTGTCTGATTGTAATTTATAAGTTAAATATAATTAGAAGAATTATATGTCATTAAATTGATATGTTGCATTTGAGATTTCTTTAATTGTTATTTAAAGTTTTTGAAATCATTAGAATTTGAATGCTATGTCGTTAAATTGACATGTTGATGGATGAATTTTTTTAATTGTCATTTAAAGGTTTTGAAATCCTTAAATTTTGCAATTGAAAGCTTAATTTTTTTGGTACTTGAATTAGGTAATCTTAACTCAGATAATTATATTAAAGTTTTTAAAACAAATTAAACAATTCTGTGTCTTCCTAGATGGTGATCAGAAGAATAATCCAGTCATAAATTGTTTTATAGTTTCTGATATTTTACTTTATACAATGATTATAGATAAAGCTATATTTTATATAATTTATGTTTCAGAAATGTGATAGTTGTTATAAATCTGGTGCTACTGTTGGTTGCTGTAATAAATTTTGTTCAGCTAATTATCATTTTTTCTGTGCTAAAAATAAACAGTGTGTGTTTCAAACGGATAAAAAGGTTTACTGCCATCAACATGCTGATAACGCTGTTATAGAGGTAGGTTTTAAATCTCCAGTCACGGTTATTGTCAGTAAATAAAACTGGTTTATATTATGTGGAATATTTTTAGAAACAACAATTATCCTACTTATCTGCAATTATCGGAAACTTTGTGATAATTTTCCAAACAAATGTATTTGAGGAAAGTATCTGGATAACCATCAGGACATTCATTAGATGTAAGCAGGAGCCACAGTGGCTCAGTGAGTAAGTCATAGGCTCGCTAACCTGGAGGTCGGGTGTTCGATCACTGCGTTAGTTGAGTAAGTTTATGAGGATTTTCCGGCTTGGTTCTTCCTTGTTAGTGGTGCAAGACTGAGCGCCTAGCAACGGACAATGTTTAGTGTTTCAGATGGGACAGAAAACCGAGGTTCGGTATACACATTGGAGTGGCAGTTGGAATTCAATATAAGAGTGGGTCGTAGCGCTGCTGTCTGGGCAAAATTTCCCTCATAGCACACTGTACGGCATATGCCTGTCTTCATTAGCCCTGTCGGAGCAGAACAGTAGGACGTTAAACCCCATTTCATTTCATTTCATTACACCAAAGCAATAGGTCAGGTCATTCATTAGACCTAAGACTAGAATATTTTTAATGATATAACCCGTATTTTGATGATCATTGTAGAACAGTTGAGTCAGGGAAACTAATCATTTTGTTTATATTTTCAGTGTATACATAAAGGAAAGTTTTCAGTAGAACGTAGAGTATGTGTTAACTGTGATCAAACTAAATTTAATAAGAAAACATGGAGTAGAGGTTTAGATCCATCATATATAAATATACAAATTGGTAAATATTCATGATTCTAACTTTATATAACAGTTCCATCTTATATCAATATACAAATTGGTATATTCATAATTAATAAAATAAACTTTGGTACTTGTTGCACACCTTCTTGTCTGATGGGGGGGGGGGGGGGGGTGGACGGTCGAATGGTTAGCACGTGCGCGTTGTATCATAAAGCCTGTCATTGAGTCAACTGGCGTGGTTTCGAATCCGCAGTTGTACGTGACATGGAGTATGGTCGTCTGTCCAACGTCGTGGGTTTTCTCCGTGTCCTCCAGTTTCCTCCCACTGCTAAAGACCCCTACACGAAAGCAAATTATTGAAATAAAATTAAACCATATGTTAGTCCCGAAATGACCTAGTTTGTGTCGGGTGGACGTTAAACCCCATCTCTCTCTCTCTTGTTTGATAATCAATGACATGCACTTTAGATCATAAGGTCTGTCATGACATCAAGTGGCATGATTTTGATCCCCTGCTTGTTCGTGAAGAGAAGTAGGGTTAACTGTTCAACCTTATGTGTTTTCTAAATAGGGTTAACTGTTCAACCTTATGTGTTTTCTAAATAGGGTTAACTGTTCAACCTTATGTGTTTTCTTCCCTAAATCATTAGTTTCCTCCCACTGCTAAAAAATAAAGCAAACAAACGAATTATTGAAATAAAATTGTGTCATATGACAGTCCCACAATGACATATATTGTTTTGAGTGGACATTAAATCTCTCTCTTTCTCTCTCTTTCTCTCAAAATGACACGATTGTGTTGAGTGGACATTAAACCTCTGTTTTTATATGATCTAGATTGTTTATATTGTATAATAATTGTTTTTTTGATGTTTTATTTAGGATCATGTACAGTAGAAAATTTAGGACATATTGCACCATTATCAGATTGTAAAGGATGTTTATTACCTGTTGATTTCAGGTAAATTAACTTTTAAATCATTCAAATTGTAATCAGGATTCTTGTTGAATTATTTTTACTGCAGAAATTCATTGACTCTGTTATTGATAATGTTCTAGTTGATTTTGTGTTTGCCTCCACTTATTCAACAGACACAAACTTCATCCATATCAGGACTATCTTGTTTTAATGGTAAACTGTCATCAGTAACGATAGGTTGCAAGGAAACGAAACATACACCCACAGCAGCTAAGTCATCCGGGCGGACAACAAGTGTTGTCGCATAATTTTTGTCTTTTGTCAGTAAGGAGAACATTTACAACACACGAAAATCGGATTACGAGTAATAACCCATGAAGTAATTAGAATTTGTTTGGATTGTTTGTCTCATCACCTTTAACAATTTATATTAACTTGAGCCTTGAGAGCGTCCACAAGTTTTTTCAAAGTGATCAAGGGCTATAACTCTGGCAGTAATTATCGGAAATTTCAATGTGTTTGTATAAAAATTGTTGGAAACAACCTTTTGATTTTGATTTTTGATAAAATATCATAAATATTTCAACTTTGATTGATTTATCAATGAAAGTCTGATTTTGATATGCCATGGCTACAATTCCATGTGTTTTGTGAGTAGGACTCTGGAGATTACGTCACCTACACAGTTTGTAATACCAGTCTTAATAGAAATATATATTATGTTGAAATTGAAATAATGAAGATTCTGGTTTCGCTGAAGCATACTTCTATATCAAGTTTCCATAAACTTTATGACAGTGAGATGAGTTTAAAACATATATTTGATTGTTTATTTTCAGGTGTACACGTATATACTGGAGTACAGAAGACGCTAGAAAAAGATGTGTTTATACTTGTCGTATTATTGAGGTGAAACCAACACCAACATCACCAGATATCAAATTGGAAGACATGAGAATAATCCATGATGAAACACATCCAGATTTTACACCATTTGATAAACTTGATTTAAAATCTAAAGGCTTATCATTCTTGTTGGGTTCTCCTGGTAGAGATGATCAAGATGTTTTATTTCTCCCAGGATCACAACCAAATTCAGCTGGATCAAGTCGAACTGTTTCGGCCGAGGGCAGTCCTTTCGCCATTATGTCTCCTGATAGTTCTCTTTCAAGCAACCCATTGTCACCAAATTCTTTCAATCTCAGTATGTTATCACCAAATACATTACGCTGTCTTAATATCAAAGATCCTCAAAAATACATCCAACAACAGACACATTCTAAGAGTGTATCACCTGATGACAACATAGGATCTGGAAGCCGGTTGACTAAAATGGTTGAGCGTTTAAATTCTGCTGCTGGTCGTAGCAGACGTGCAAAAAGTGTGGAGATTGTAAATGAATATAAACCCATTGTTAGATCTAGGTCTGCAGATGATTTTCAACTGAGTAAAAAAATCTCAGAGCCTTTAACTGTTGATACATCCTTAAAATACTCCCCAAATCCTCCTTTGGACACACCTGAAGCAGGATTGAATCTTTCAGGTTACAGTATTGAAGATGAAGCTCAGTGGTTGATTGATAGTTTACCTGCCGATGTTCTGGACACTGAAAGGGACACCATATTTGTTTTAGCAGATGGCAAGGAGGATATGACTGAGGAAGAAGCAGTTGAATTAGCAGAAGCAACTCTTTCAGAAGCCAGCAGTTCTTTCTCAGAAGAATCTCCAGCAATTTTGAATATGACAGATCCACAAGAAACTATTACAGAAGAACCTGAGGATTGTAATTTAGATGAGACCAAGCCAGTGGAAGCTGGTGATGCAACAGTTTTTGAGATTGCAGACTCTCCGTCCATTGAAAATGAGCCTGAATTTAACCAAAAGACTGTGGATACTTCTTCTGAAAGAAATGATTCCAAAGTAGAAACATCAGAACCAGATCAAAGTTTGGTAATCCTTACAACTACAGATACAGAAAAACCAATATGTGACATAGACAGCACTGAAAATATTAATGCTTTAACATCGTCTACTGATGCAGTAGAAGCTGCTGAAAATTCAGCAGAAACAAAATTTATTTCTTTAGAAGAAAATGATGCACAGTTGAAAAACAGTGAGGTTGAGATGAAAAGTGTGGATTCTGCAAACGACAAAGAAAATGTTTCAGAAGTAAAGAACAGAGATGATAAAATAGAAGACACAAATGTAAAAGTTGACTGTGCTGAAGTGAAAAAGTTAAGTGCCAAAATTACAGGAGACCATGATGAAGTGACCGGTGATCATGCTGAAGTGACAGGAGATGGTGCTGAAGCAATAGAAGACAGTACTAAAGCAAAATATGATGGTACTAAAATGAAAGATGACAGTGTTGAACTGACAGATGACAGTGTTAAAATGAAAGATGACGGTGTTAAAATGAAAGACGACGGTGCTAAAATGAAAGATGACAGTCCTGAACTGAAAGAAGACAGCGTTGAAGTGAAAGAAGACTGTGCTGAAGTGAAAGGGGATAGTATTGAAATGAAAGTAGACTGTGGCGAAGTGAAGAAGGATGACAGTACTGAAGTGAAAGACGACAGTGTTGAACTGAAAGAAAAAAAAGATGCAGGAATAGACGCTGAAAGTACCAAGCTGAAAGTGAAAGATACAGAATCAGAAGGCAATAAGAATGAAACTGTGGTCAAGGAAAAATCTTCAATTAAAGATATAAAAAAGCAATTACCTCCTGAGCAAAGAGAAACTCGTCTAACAAGATCCCATAGTTCGAAAATAAAGGATGCCGAGGAG